TCTCACAAATGGGGGCTGGTTCCTCCCAGGGCCTTTGGTCATGAGACATTTCCTTGCTGACCCCAACACATCCCCAAAGCCCTGTGAGGGGGAGGAGCCCTCCCACAGGGCAGACACCAGCACAGGAAAGGTATGTCAGACCCTCTGCCGGGACACCACCGGACAGACGTCCTTCCGCAGGATGCAGACCCTTCTGCACGGCCCGGCCGCGACACAGCCATGGGCTGCACTGCAGCACGGGCTGCTCTGCGGGTGAGACTGCAGGAGGAGGATTTATAGGCTGCCCAGGGAGGTGGTGGAGTCTCCTTCTCTGGAGACACTCAAAACCCACCTGGAAAAGTTCCTGTGGGACCTGCTCTGGGTGGACCTGCTTTGGCAGGGGGGTTGGACTAGATGTTCTCCAGAAGTCCCTTCCAACCCCATGTGATTCTGTGACCAAATTCTGCCCAGGACTGCAAATCCATCTTCCACCTTACTGTGACCCTGCCAGTCTGGGGACCACTGACCTGGCCTGAGGCCACCAAGCCTGCCACCACAGGGCTGTGCCCACACAGACACTAGGAGAAGTGCCGGTGCCGAGGGGCAGAGCCCGTGCTCCCAGCATCACCAGGCAGCCACGGTCACACAGCTCCCGTGGATGGACAGTCCCTCCAGGGGTGTCCCCGCACACCCACCTTCCCTGCACTGCCCAGACCCAGCCCGTACACTCCCGAGTGGTACCACCGCCAGGAGCCCATCCACGGCTCCATGCCCCTCCAACACACACAGCTTTCTCCCTTTCCTCCCAAATTAGCACCTGCCTCTGGATATCACTCTTCCCCTCCACTACAGCATGAATTGTCCTTCCCTCTCCTCCTCCTGCCCAGCCACCACCATGACCTGCCCTGATCTCACTCCTCCTCAGGGCTCCCCACAGGCCAGCTGCCCCCCTTGCACCCACTGTCCCCTCAAGCGTCCTTGCAGAAGCACATCGCCCACAGTCCGGGTGGGAGCAGCAGGAGCCAGTGTCCCATCACAGTGGACCCCACGGCAGAGCCAGGCACCTCCCAAAGAGCTCGACCCCAAACACACAGGACAGTGTGACTCAGAGCCGGTAACTCCTTCAGAAACCACCCGTGGGAAAGGAGCGGAGGAGAGGAGGAGAGGAGGCAAGGACCCAAAACTGAAGCAACAAGATGTTGTGGCACCTTCCTCTCCCCAGACACCTGCCTTGAATGCCTCAGCTGCCACACAGAGAGCTCACAGAGGGCAACAGGGGACAGCAAATTTTGGGCATCATGAAAGATACCCAGCTAGTAGTGGAGTGCCTGCCAGGGGCCATGCAGGACAGAGGACACTTGGGGCTGTAGGGCATGGTGTGGCTCCTGACCACGGTCCCAGGCAGCACCCAGCAGAGAAGCATCATGTCCCAGCATGTGCCAAGTGCTGCTCATCTCCCACAGCCCCGGCTCAGGACAGCCCATGGCCCCCATCACTGCAAGGCTGCCCCGTGCCCATAGGCTTTGGGAACCCTGCAGCTCCCTGGGGCAGCTCTGCCTGTCAGAAAGGATGGCCATTTGCAAACCCTGTGGGTCGGTACCCACCAAGGTGGGTATAGCCTGTCCCTGTCCCCAGCAGAGATCTTCACTTTCACAGCAGGGAATGCCATAAGCTACTTCTGCACTGCGAGGAAGGGACTCTCCTTTTGGTGGTTCCAGTGTGCTCCCTTCCCACCCAAGCACATCCCTGCCCAGCTTCTGCACCACGACGAGCCCATCCTCTGCCCATCCCCACCTGTCCCTCAGCATCTCCCGTTTCTGCGGGAGTAGAGACGTGCCCTGTTCCTCCCACACTCCGGGTACCATTTCCCAAGCTGCTGAATGGGTGTAGGGCAGCTGAACCCCTCTTCCCCGAGCTCCGAGGTGGTGCAGGTCGCTCAGACTGTTTAAGCTGGAAGTGCTGGCCCATCATTAGGATGTAAACAGTGCTGTGCCTGAAGAGACTGCCTTTTCAGAGACAAGGTCACAGTCTGGGGTGGAGATTTGCTCCGAACAATGGAAATCCCTACCAGTGAATTCAAAGGCTTTCAGCTGAATAAAGACAGTGATGGAGAGTTGCAAAGGAACCTAAAAGGGGCTTGGAGACAACTCCAAGAGAGCTGGGAAACTTGACTTGAAAAGTCACCTGCTTAACAGCCTAAAACCCACATGGAGGCTCAAATCTGAGAGAAGACATGAACTTGAATAAACTGAACTTTGCCCAGCTGAAGTCCTGATCTCTGAAACGCTGGCAGCTAATGGAGTCTGACTCGTTACTGAAAAGCTGCCTGTCCACCCTGTGCCTGGAGATCCCAAAAGAGACAATCCCCATCTTCGAGCAGCGCTTGCTGCAGCAGGAGGGGAGAGGTCTAGGATGCTCACTGCTCTCAGCTGGGTGAGGCCAAGGAGAGGGGAGAAGGAGGCAGGGAACACACACAGCTCTAAAGCATCTGTCCTGTGAGCTTCTCCAAAACCCAAGAGATATCCTCTGACACATCCCAGAGCACTGCAGGGAGACGGGGGAGCAGCAGTGACAGATGGAACAGGCTCAACTGCTGGTTTTCCCCTCGTCCCCTTTCGCACCCACTTGGATGTCACCTTGCAGACAGGGACCAAGCCTGCCTGCTCCAGTTGTGAGGAATGGGCACTGCAAGTGCCCGGGTCAGGGAGCTGATGTGTGGAGATGATGGGCAGGAGCCTGGGGAAGTTCAGGGCCGCTCACAGGACACGATGCAGCTCTTCAGGATGCAGACTGTTAAGCCAACGGGGCTTTTCCTGCCTCCCGTTACTTAAGTGAAGGTTCCTCAGTGAGCACAGGAGCCTGCAAAACAGGCAGTTTTCATTTGGGAAGCCAGCCCCCACCTGAGCCATAAATGCACCAGCCCCCTGCAGGCACTGCCTTGGTCTGAGAGAGAGCCCTGAGCACGACGGCGGGCTGGTGACAGCACGGGAGCTCTGTGCAGGGAGCAGCATGGAGGGTCCGGCTCCCCTCGCCCAGCAGCAGAAGGTCTGACAGAGCATCCATCACACCGTCCTGCCTCCCACACCTCCCTGGGCAGACTGCGCTGCAGGACGCCTGCACCCACATCCCCTTCCATCCCTCCTCCCTCTGCGGGGGGGCAGGTACCACGGCGCAGCCTCCCGCCTGGATCCCGGGAAATCCAGTGCAGGATGCCCCATGGGGTGGCAGCCCAGGGACAGGCAGAGGGCTGCCGGGGGCTCCCCAAGGAGGGGAGCAGGGCCTGCGAGCTCCTGCTGCTCGCGCTGCAGAGCCAGAGCCCCGAGCTGCGGCTGCAGCCAGCTCCTCTGCACACCAAGCAGGCTCGCAGTGCGCAGGCTGCGCTTGCCAGGCTGCGAGCGCTCTGGTGCTCTGATCTGCACCCACCTCCCCGGCGCTCCCCGCCATCCCTCTGCCGCCTGCCCACCTCCCTCCGTGTCCGGGGGGAGCAGGGCCACCAGCCCCTGGCAGCCCGGTCGTCCTGTCGTCTGTCTGTCCCCCCCCTCTCCCCCCTCAGACTCCTTCTCTGCTGGCTCCCACCCCCAGCCCCCAGAGGTTGCACCACAAACATTTCCACTCTTCAGCTCTTGGATATGCATCTGCCCCTGGGGAAGGGAGACCTGGGAGGGAAATTCCTACTTTATACATGCAAACATGCTCGCCTTTGCATGAAGCCCCCATTCCCCCCACTGCCTCCGGTGATCTTTGGGCTGGCAAGGCTGAGATGTTTCACTCTAAGTTAGAACTATCCGCTGGTCTCAGCAAAGAATTTGTAGGGAGGAAAGGGAGGGTGTGGGTGTGTGTGTGTGTGTGTCACAACACACAATCACACTGACTCCAGCATCCCTGCTTCCTCCAGTGCCAACGCACAATCCCAAAACAAGGACAGGGCGGCAGGGCAGGGAGGTGCAGAGCAGTGCCCAAGGAACAGAAAAGTGGAAAGGTGGGTACTGTGGCAGTGAGCAGAGCCCTCACTGAGAGTCCTCGGACCCTGCCCCGTGCTGCTGGGGTGAGGGCTGGAGCAGGATGAGACCCGGCTCCATGCATCAGCTCAGGATGGGTGCGCACAGGGATGGTGGAGGAGGAGCTGATGTGCTGGGGCAAAGGGAAAGGGCAGGCACCATGTCCCTGAGAGCCTGGCTCACAACCCCAGCGGGGCAGGGGGCAAAGCCAGCGGGTGTAGAGCCCTTCCTGCAGCACAAAGTCAGCCCTCGCTAGAGCAGAGCGTCTGCCCAATTCTTCGACAGCACCTCACCTGCCTCTGCCGCTCCCCAGTGCTTGGCAGCTGAGCGGGCAGAGCCGTGCCTGAGAGTGTGCCAGTGCCACCGTCCTCCAGCCAGCTCTGGCCCCAGCCACTACCCCTCTGACACCGAGCAGGAGCCCCCCAAGCCAGTCTCCAAAGAAGAGGAGAGCTGTCACTTCCCTTAGTCCCCTCCAGCCCCAGCAACTCTCTGCTCACCCCAAGTCTCCATCTCTTCACCTCTTCCCAGCCCTCACCCCCAAGGGACACCCCCCTCCTGCCTGCAATGCTTCATCCCAGAGAAGCACGAGCTCCCTGTGCCTCGCAGCCCACCAACCCCCACAGCCCCCAGCACTCCACCACTAACGAGTGCTCCTCGTTAGGGCCACAGTCACGGCAGCCCTTCAGGGAAGGTTTTCCCTGCGCTGACCAGGCTCAGTCTCCAAGCTCTCACTCCCCCCCAGCACTGCCCCGGTCTGTAACAGCCCCCCACATCCTCCACGGTTCGCTGTGCCCTGCCAGACACCCTCCGTGCCACCCTCTGCCCCACGTCACAGCCGCCCTGGCCAACACACCACGACGCCCGTGCTCTCCGGTGTCACACCTCGGCTCCCGGCAGGTCACGTCTGCGCATCCTGCCTGTGGCACGGGCACCGTGGTGCCGTACATCACCCATCACACCGTACCGTGGCACAGTACATCACCCATCACACCGTACCGTGGCACAGTACATCACCCATCACACCGTACCGCCGTCCAGCCGTGCCACACCGGGGCCTGACACCTGGCACCCGATGCGGTCACACCGGAACCCGCACCGCCCACGCACACCCGCACCGGGCTGGGACCAGCCCTCGGCCCGCACCCCCTGCCCGCCCACGCTGCCCGGGCCCGCCGGTACCGGGGCGGTGCGGGAGCCCCCCGAGCTGTGCCCGCTCCCCGACTCCATCCCCGCTTTCCCCGCGCTCGGGGCAGGCGGCGGAGCGCAGCCCGGTCCCGGTG